ACATTCTTTTCCTATACCTGAAGGTGCCTGCTTTATACAAATAAGAGGTTGAAACTGAGTGTGGGGGGCCCATGCCTGTAATTCCAGCACACTGGAAGGCTGAGGTAGAAGGACTGGAAGTTTGAGTCCAGTCTGAGCAATTTTAGTGACTTATCAAGACTGCTTCAAAATAAAAAGGCCCTGGGCTTAATCTCCAGTATTATAATACAACACAATATAGCACAACACCACAAAACAAAAACTAAAAAAAGCCATACGAGTTTGGGGGTCAAACTCCTGCCTGAGTGAGGAGGCACACATCATATTCCAGCCATAGCAGATGAGTATTGTTTAAAGAAACAGAAGCAGAGCATAGTGGGTGTCATTAGACGTGGAGAAACTGGAATGCTTACAGTGGGACTGTGATGGATGTCACTGTGGGAAAGAATGTAAAAGGATGTCGTGGCTGTGGAAAACAGCAGGGCGGTTCCACAGCCCGGCATGGAGGGTATGCCCACAGTCTCAGCACATGGGAGGATGCTGAGGCAGGAGGCTTGCCACGAGTATGGGAGGAGCCTGAGCTGGGTAGTGAGTTCAAGGCCGGCCTGAATTACAGAACAAGATCCTGTCTCAAAAAACAAAGACAAAGGGGCTGGGGATTTAGCTCAGCAGCATAAGCACTTGCCTTGCAAGCAGGCAGTCGTGAGTTCGATCCCCGGTACCGATAAAAAGGAAAAAGACCAAAAAAAGAAAAAATACAAAATAAAGCAGACAAGAATAGAAACACAGAATTACCATGTCACCCAGCAATTCCACTCTGGCTCTGTCTATCATTATATACCCACACAAATTATATGCCCACCTGAGTTCATGGCAACATTGCTCATCATCCAAACCCCGATCTGAAAGCCACTCAGGGTTCTTTGACAGGTAAAAGGAAAATGGAATGGAAGGGCATTCAGGCTTAAGAGGGAAGGAAATCCTGATGCACACTGAAACATGGATGAACCTTAAGGAAATTGTGCACAGGGAACCAGCAGACACAGAAGGTCAGATACCATGTAGCTCCACTTCCATGAAGTTCCTAGAGTCATCAAATTCATAGAGACAGGAAAGGGAATGTTGGTTACCAATGGGGAGATTCAAGGATGAGCAGCTCTTGGTTAATATGTACAGCATTCTAGTTTGGAAAGAAAAAAAGTCATGGAGACAAACTTAAAGTCACAGATCTGTACACTTAGGGTAGAAAATGACTAGATGTGGTGGCATGCGCCAGGAATCCCAACACTCAGGAGACTGAGGCAGAAATGTTGCTCTGAGTATGAGGCCAGCCTGGGCTACATAGTAAATTCAAGACCAGCCTGAGCTCAAGAGTGAGACCCTGTTTCAGAAAAAAGCAAACAACAAAAGAAATGGTAAATTTTATGTCTCACGTGTATTACCACAACTTTGAAGGTTTCAAAGGGTTGAGTGGGGAATGCGACTTAGTACATTCCAGATCATGGTTCAACCCCCACCACCATAAAAAACAAAGTGAGGGACTTGAATTATACAGGACAAAAGGTAGGATCCTCACAGGATATCTGGCAGGCAGCGACACAGTTGAAAGAACAAAGACTTTAGAGCCGTAGACTTATTTCATACTTTGTTTTTCCATTGGGTAGTGCTAGAGATTGAACCCAGGCCCTTTTGTGCCAGGAAAGTGTTCTTGTAACAGAAAATGCCCCCCACCCCAGCCAACGGACTTCAGTTTTTCAGCTGCCCAGGTAACAGCTCCTGTTCTAGGTCCAGTTGCTTTTGTCTTTTAGAAATGGCTGGCAAAATGCTAAAATATCTCTCTCCTGCCTCCAAAGCCACTTCAAGACCTCCCACCTGCCAATGCCACCATGATTGCCCCCATATACACTGCCTCAGACTTCAGCCATCCACAGCCCACACCTGCCTGGATTTAAAAGAAAAAGCTTTCTGCCTTTGATTGGCTCCTACCAGCCAGCCCCTTTTTGCAAACACTCCAGTTTTGGACTCAAAGGTTAACTGACTGGACTCAGCCTCCCAAAGGCTCAAAAACTTGGCCCCTCTAAAAAGCACTTCTGATTACCGACACTTCCAAGCTGCCTGCTGGGAAGACACAAAAGCACTATTGCAATATCTGGCAGAAATTGGTTACAAGAAAAAACAAAAAACCATGAATCTCTTGGAACTGCTGGCTTGTATAAAACTTGGATTTTTTTTTTTTTTTTAACTTAGATCTTCTGGTTCACAAAAGCAAACATGCTTTCTCAGACCATCAGCCTCTGGGAGTGTCCAGTGGCCTGCCTGTGTAAATACATAGACCTGGTCAGTAAAGGCTGCCTCCTCCTTCCCCTCCATGTCCAACAGTCACTGTCCTTCTGATCAAGAAAGCCCATAAGCTCACCTTAGACTGAGACCTACCTGTCCAGGTGCAGCATGCTCTCCTGAGGCGAACTGTCCTAAAATTGGACCCCTGGCAGATGCTGAGTACACCCTCTTTGTGGACAAAAGTAGCTCTGATAGGAATGAAGTCCAACAGGCTATAGGCTGTGGTCACCTTGACCAAAATTATTTTGGCCAAAATTCTTTTGCAGGGATGGTCTGCCCAGCAAATTGATTCTTACTGCTGTTGTAAACCTGCCACCAGTGACACAAAATAATCTGGTCCAGTGGCTTAGGCCCTCTCCAGGAATCCTACTCACTTAAACATCAATCCTAGCCACCAGACCTGCCTGCACTGTATGTCCTACAAGCTTGAGCTGCTGTGCCGGCATGTACACCCCTGCAACCAGCTCAGGCTTCAGCATCTATGTCACCAGCCTTGAGCTCCCATTCCCTACTCATACTGAGAAGACTATAAAAGTTTGCAGGGTCCTGTTATACAAATCACCCCTAGACATGACCTTCCCTTGATCATTGGCAGCAACAATGGGCCTGCATTTGTAATAGATTACTTCAAAAACTAGATTAAATTAAAATTACATACAGCATACAAGCCACAAAGCTGTAGAAAAGTTTAAAAAAAACAGCTTGTAATTCACACACATATAACCCAGGTGCATATTAACTTCCTTTACGAGTTTCAGAAATCCCTCACTGAAAAGAATGAGCTGTGCTTACATTGTTTGCTCTGTTTTTCATGCCTCTATCTTATAATCCAAGAAACTACTTTGGCTTTTTTTTTTTTTTTAATCGGTACCGGTGATCGAACCCACGACTGCCTGCTTGCAAGGCAGGTGCTTATGCCGTTGAGCTAAATCTCCAGCCCCTCAAGCAACTACTTTGAAGATAACAATACACAGCATATTAATCATTGTTAATCTCCTATCATCCTGCTTTGAAATTCTATATCATTGTTTTTACTGTTTTATCTCTTTAAAATTAAAAAAAATTAAAAAAGAAAGAAAGAAATCCAGCCTTAGATCACTGAAAAATTTACCAGGACAGCAACTCTGAAGCTCTGTCTAAATAGATGGTGCACTCAAAGTTCTGCTCTGGTTACCCTGGATGCTGACCGGTCCACGCACAGCTGAAGCCTAATGACAGTGCACAGGATTGCTCCATACCTTTTCCCCTTGATTTTTGTGTTTTTTCAGGCTGTTTACCCCAGTCTTTGCTTCCCCACCCCTGCTGTGTTTTGTACCTTAAATTCAATAGACCACTGCCCCAAGAGAATAGAACAATGAATCAAATATTTGACCAAGATCTGATGAGTGTCCAACACTGGCCATTTTCCTAGATCAGATTAACTCCCTCACTCTCTGCCAGAGTAATGTTACAGAACAGACAGGCCCAGGTTATGTCTCTTCCTAAAAACAACTTGGGGGAAAACTCTATAATAAGATAATCTTGGGGAGCTTGGCTAAGGCCCATCCTAGGATCACTGACTGCTTCTAGTTGGACCTTGTATCAGAAGATCACGTGTAGTATGCCCAGCAAAGATTTTCTGGGGAAACTAAGAGTGAGGAACTGTAACAGAAAATGGCCTCCAAGCCAGTATACTTCAGTTTCTAGTCACTCAGGTAACAGCTCCCATTCCAGTGCCAGTTGCTTCTGTCTCTTAGAAATGGCTGGTCACTATGATATATAGCTGGTCACTGTGATGTCACTATGATGCACATTGCATAAACCAGTCCTCAACTGGCAAGCCATTCTGCTTCTGTACTTCCTGCTTGCTTATCTGACATAAGTCTTAGATCACCAGAAAATCACTCCTGATATTTTGGTAGTGATTCCAATCAGTGGTTGCCAATGTAAAATAAATCTGCCTCCATATCCTGGGTGTCATTTCAATGTTTCTGTTTACTGTTGCTTTCTACTGAACCACATCCTCAGCTGCTGCAACCCATTGGCTCCTGAGATTCTTAAGGTGAAGGACCATGAGGAAAATGAAGAGACAAGCTGGGATCAAGTGGAACCCCTTACTCTCCTGATGGGAGGAAAGCAACTGGCCCCCCACTGCAGGGGTGTTTATTTATAACTTTTAGTAACTTAATGTCACATGATACCCTGTTGCCCTAGCAACCCATTGTTCAGATTGTCTTGGTGTAAGTATTCTCTGGGTTGAAGCAGCAGCTTCACATGGCTTGCCCTGGGCACACTTTGTTCTTGGGGTGGTCATGCTCCAACCTTGTATATGTGATCAATTTCTAGCATCAACAGCTCCCAACACTCAGTAGTAGACCCATTTGGAATTCCTGATTCCTCATACCAACCTTGTGTCTGCAGTGAGTGCTGTGAGGACCTCCACACAAGGTGGAAACTAGTGGCACCTTACCCCTATCCACTATTCCTGCACCACTGTAGACATTACTAATCAATCACCACACTTTTCCCACTTGGGAGGAGCCCCTACCAATTGTTCAGGCCCAGAAGATGCTCACAGACTACAGTCACATCTGTGATTCTCCTTCTATCCCTGGTGTTCAACCTGAGAAGATGATTAGAAACCTTCAACTTCTCTCTCACAGGATCTCCCTGGGCCTCCTCCATCCCTTGTGGGAATTCACCTTGTCCTGAAGGTCCAGAAGTTTGGCTCTGATCATCACATGTTCTGCAGGTCCTGGGCCCCTCAGGTGCTTGACTTGTGATTGCTGTGAGGTCTCCTTGACTTGAGGCAGCAGGTTTCTTACACAAATGACTCAAGTGTCCTGGCTTTTATGAAGAGGGTCTCGTCCTGGTCAGTCATTCAACGAGGCAGAGAGACTACTGAGAGACATTGAGCTGTTGTGAGAAAGAAGCCAACAAAGAGACCAAGCAAGTGCATAAGCTTTTGTACGATGAAGGTCCCTTCCTTGGATGTGACAGGAAGGAAACCAGCAAAGGTGGGAGTGGATATAAATATGTTCCTTCTGCTGCGTTTCTTCATCACTCACAGGCAGGGGCTAGAACAGATGAGAGTGTGTTAAGGTTTGATGTCCCTAAAGGCCTGTGAGTTAGTTAAAGGCATGGCCCCCAGTCTGGGGCACCACCACTGGGAGATGTGCCTTTGGGAGGTGAGGCCTCATGGAACAAAGTTATGTCCCTGGGACATGCCCTTGAATGGGACATTGGGACCCTGGCCACTTCCTGGCATAAAGTGAACAGGTTCCCTGTGCCACACACTGCCCTCGTGAAGTACCACCAGAGAGCAACAGGGCAAAGCAGTGCTGAAACCATGAGTCAGAATGAATGTTCTTCCTCCTAAGCTGATTATCTCAGGTTATTTTGTGAGTAACGCAGTGTGCACGTGGAAGGGGATGGTAGTACAGGACCCCACCTGGTTTCTGGTCACCAGTTGAAAGTAAAACTAGTTGAACTAGTCCTAAGCACTTGTGAGGAACAAACACTCAGCTTTTCAAGGGCTGTTAAAAAAAGCAGGGCAAAAGACCCAGTGTTTCATGCAGGGCTGGGGTTTTGCCAGCAATCCAGTGGAACAAGGGCACAATGTTAGCAAGACCAGACCAAGCGCAGTCTGAGTACTCTGGCTCACCAGGATTCCTCACAAGTGTCCCTGGTCTGAGTCAAATGTGGTGGTGCAGGGTTGTCATCCCAGCCAACACTCAGGAGGCTGAAGCAGAAGGATATCCAAGAGATTGAGGCCAGGATGGGCTACATAGTGAGTTTAAGGCCAGCCTGAACCACATAGTGAGACCCTGTTTCAAAAACAAAAATAAATAGAAAGGTGTTCCTGGGCCAGTGCCTCCTCCAGACAATGATAAGAACAGGAACTCGGCTGCTTCCCTCTTGCACTGGCATAGTCTTGCAGTGTCTTAGCTCACTGCGGCAGGAAGGAGTGGGAAAGGAGCATCAGCTTTAGAGGCCCAGGCTTCCTGGGATGGCAACTCTGTCCAGGCAGGTCCTCTGCTACTAGACAGGAGGCAAGAGAGAAGGCAGAGACAGCCTCCCTGGAGGGAGACGTGACCCACATAACAAGTCACATGTCCCAGTTCACTGCAAGGACATGGGGTTGGGAACCTCAGGCAGGCCAGGGAGGGACAAAGGCACCCAGAGAGCATAAGCACGTGGGGTCTCTGCCAAGAGGGAACACAGAGCTCAGGAGGGGTAGAATCCACCCCAAGGACAGGGAGAGGTGCGGAGAAAGGGTCAAGGCCAGTAAAAGGAAAGTTGAAAAGGGTGGGGAAATTGTAGACAGGGAGATTCCTGCACAAGGGGCCCCTGGCTCAAAGCTGGTGGACCTGGCATGGAAGGCATGGAAGGGCAGGGTGGGCACTATTTCTGATGATGAGAAAATGAAGGATGCATGGGTAGGGCTCAGCTGAAGAGGGTACAGGTGAGGGTACCAAAGTAACATAGACCAGGAGCTGGGAGAGACAAGCGTAGACAGATGTTGAGATCACAGGGACTGATTTCCAGAAGCTTGAAGTGGCCCTGGAGATTGAACCCAGGGCCTCTCAATGCTAGGCAAATGCTTGCACTGAGCTACAGCCCCAGGCCTGTTCACTCATTTAATTGTATTATTCTAGGCTGCTAAGTGAGATAAAAATCAATGGGGAACAGACAGGGACAGGCCCTCGAGGGAGATGGGGCAGAAGATGCGAATGCTTTACAACTGTGGCTGGAGGTGGCTGGAGGTGCATTGGAGGTGGCAAGACCTCCAGGAAAAGTCAAGAGGGTCAGGCTTACATGTCTGCCTAAGGGATAAACAGCAACTTGAGACAACAGTAATTAGCAACACCTCAGACTGGAAGTCCAGAAAGGCATAGGATATCCCGGTGGGTGACCAGAGCATCTGGATCTTTTCCTGCTCCAAAACAGTTCTGTTCTTTCTGTGATAGAAACCATAGATAAACTGAGCGGGGCATGGTGGTGCATGCCTGTTCTCCTGACACTGAGGAGGCTGAGACAGGAGAATCCCTGTGCGTTCAAGAATAGCCTGGACTCCAAAGTGAGTTCAAGGCCAGCCTAAACTACACAGTGAGGCACTGTCTCAAAAAACCCAATCAAATTTAAAACAAAAACAAGTAAGTCCTAGATAAGGCAAGATTAGTGATGCTAGCCATCTATCGTAGTGGAATGCCTGCCTTCCCTATTGTATCAGTATTAGTTGTAATCTTACTGGGTTGATTGTAGTTTGACTCACATTGTACCCACCTTGTGATTTTGCTCTATAAAACATTCCTGGAAAAGTGGCCTCAGTGGAACCCACTGTCAGGACCCCTTCAGTCTCCTTTCCTACTCTTTTTTTTCTTTTTTCTTTTTCGGTCTTTTTTGTTTTTATCGGTACCAGGGATCGAACTCACGACTGCCTGCTTGCAAGGCAGGCGCTTATGCCTGCTGAGCTAAATTCCCAGCCCCTTCCTTTCCTACTCTTAACCTTGTCATCCCTTGGAACTCATCCCTCAATATTTGAGGGACACAAATTCAGCACATCTGACAGCTGGCAGGGTGGAGATTTTTTCTCCTATATCACTGTAACAGCCATATGCAAAGAAGTACTAATATCGTCTGCACTTCAACAGGCAAGGAATAGAGGCACACAGAGCGGCATCACCATCAGGTTTTCCCTTGGCACAGTAGAAAAAACGAGCAGAAAAAGGAAATAAGGCCTTTAGTGCTATTGGTGGGTACCAGAGGGCTGCAGAAGAGCGCGACATCTCTCCCAGGCAGACAAAGAATCTGGGCTTTTATTTGGTTTGACAGAGGGTGGAGTTTGAAGGGGCGGGCCAAATGACGTATTGGCAGCTGATTGGGGGAATGTTGGCACGCAAGCAAAAAGCGGAAAGTTCAATTTAGACTTGGAAGAAGAACAGGCAGATCAGCATTGGAGGGACATGGTGTCGCTCTAGCGTCCATTGCGCTGTTGGGCAGGTGCAACACTGAGTTCCATGCGGGTGCCCAGAGTCAAAGCAGATAACAGAGGACAGGAAAGGTTTGGAACTCAGGCATCCCGGCTTCTAGGCAATCTCAGGAACATCAGACTGTTCATGATGCACGCATTCATTAAACATTTTTTGTTAATGCATGTTTACCTTCTTTGTGTGGAATTGGTACATGTGTATAACACAGTATAATTCCTTTTGTTATTGCTGTAGACTGTATTGGAGTCTCTGAGCCTGGAAAATCAGTACTGCTGGAAATGCTGCCTGGTAAGGTGAAGCTCAGGAGGCTTCTACTGAGAAGGACTGCATCAGCTGCGGGAGTCCAAGTAGAATACTGTGCTTTGGCTGAAAGTTGTTCTGCATTTTGCTTGTGTTTAGAGATACTGCCTGGGGGGCAGGAAAATTTCAGTACAGTCTACAGTTGGGATGGTAGCACGTTACTTTGGAGATTTTTTTTACCAGATCTGTATTGAAAATTGAGAGCAAAGAGACAGTAATTTAAAACATTTGGCCAGACAGAAGGCTCCAGTGGAACTGCGGGTTGCAAAGATGAAACAGGAGAACATATTTGTTTAGAAGAACAGGACAATGGAAAAATGGACTGAAATCTTTCACCAGAAGATAAGAGCATATTTGAATTGCAGGACATTCTTGTTTTTTAGTCTTGCCATGCCATGTTTAAAGTTAATGGGAGGGTAGGGGTTTAGCTCAGCAGCATAAGCGCCTGCTTGGCAAACACAAGATCGTGAGTTCAAACCCCAGCACCAAAAAAAAAAAAAAAAAAAAAAAAAAAAAGTTAATAGGAAGTAAGGACTGTTATTGTAATCTTTTAATTTGATTTTAATGGTTTTTTATATGTTTGTAACCAGATTGATTAAAGTATTGTGTTTTAATGTTGAACCTTGGTCACCCTTTGAATAGTCTGCTTTTTTATTTTGTCTTTTTGAGACAAGGCCTAGCAGTTCAGACTGGACTTGAGCTCATTTTGTAGCCCAAGCTGGTCTCAGATTTGCAACAATCTTCCTGCTTCAGCCTCCCGAGTGCTTACAGGAGTGCACCACCAAGCCTGGTCATTTTTTTTTTTTTTTTTCTACTGAGGATTGAACTCACAACCTTGAGCTTGCCAGGCAGGCACTTGTGCCACTGAGCTATATCCCTGGCCCTGAATATTTTGGCGCAGCAATAAGTGTAAAAAGAATTGTATTTATGTAATTATTGCATTAATGTAAATCAGAATAGACCAAGACATGTAACTGAAAGAGTTTTGGCCCAGACAGGACACTGTAGCTGGTAAAGCCTCAGGCAGAACCAAGGAGCTCCATCTCTCCCACCCCTAGGAATTTACCTCTGGCTCCAAACCAGTGCCAATGGGATACCTGTGCATCACTAGTGCCCCTTAGGTTCCACCCCAAACCTAGGCTATTTATATGCCTCCACTCCATGTGTTCCACAGAGAGATCATCGGCCCCTGGGGGAGATGCTGCGCCCCAGGGGCTCGGTGGTGTCTATCCCCACATTCTCAAAATAAAGGTCATTTATATTTCATACTTCTTATCTTTTCAGCCGCCGCCGGTCCCCCACAGTTCTATTAGTTACCTTTCACAAATCTGCCACTAAAGACTACAGTTTAAGGAAATGTGTATGGTTATCAAGTTGACCAGGGGTGGATTATTATGGATTAAAAACTGGTGGTAAATTTAACACCAGGTGAATCAAATTATCATGGTGCTGAGTGTAGATGGCTCACCTGAGGAAAATTGCCAGCATAAATAGAGATCTGGAGAAAAAGAATGAGACATTGTGGGTTCTCCTAAATGTTGCTGTTTTGAGCTGTTGGTTTTCTTGGAGGAGCTTGTCATGCTGGCTTTCCCAATTCGAATGTGGCCATTGGAGGAGCTCATT